AAATCAATATATTGATTTGTTATCAGATTTTTTTTTTATGGTTTCAAACCCAAGATTTAACTAATTATGATTTAAAAAACTTAAAAAACCATAATATATTCTAGTCCYAGACTACATAATGTTTCAATAAATATTCGTTCGTAATTTTTACATAAGTATACAACAATCTGAATGAATTGAGTGAATTTATTATTAATATCTGTCTCAGTTTTTTTTTTTTWAATTCTACTATTCTACTATTAACCAGYCAAACAAAATATATTTTATATATTATACAATATAGTGTACGTATCATGGCTAATGTTGAGAAGATTATACGCAAAGGTTTAAGTAATAAGAAAGATTATTTGTTGCATAAATTAAAAAATGGTATGAAATGCATGTTAATCAGTCAGCCAGATAATGGATGTAAAACTACTAAGCCTGAGCTCAATAGAATGTCAGTTACTACTACAGATGAAAATGATGATTCATTGACCGATGAGTCTTATTCGAGTGATGAAGAAGAAACACAAAAAGAAATTAGTGATTCATTTGCAATGTCTTTATGTGTTCATAATGGTAGTTTTAGCGATCCTGTTGARGCACAAGGACTAGCACATTTATTGGAACATATGGTATCAATGGGAAGTAAACGTTATCCAGCAGATAATCATTTCGATCGGTTTTTATATCGAAAAGCTGGCTATTCAAATGCTGAAACTGGATGCGAATACACAAATTACCATTTTGAAGTACCCATGGAATATTCTCAAGAAGCGTCAGATATATTTGCTAGTATGTTTCAGGCACCTAAATTAGCAAAGGAATCAATCGATAAAGAAAAGCAAGTTGTAGATTCAGAATTTCAAATGGCTATTTCAGATGATGATAGTCGTATACAAAGGTTTGTACAATAAAAATCAATAATTTAACTACCTAAWCAAAATTCATAATATTTAAAATTTTGAATTAGATTGATATCAATGTGTGCTGATAAAGATAATCCTGCTGGACAATTTTTTTGGGGAAATTTGGATAGTCTAAATCACAAAAATTTGAGTGAAATGGTCGTAGATTTTTGGAAAACTCATTATTCAGCCAGTCGTATGACTCTTGCAGTTCAAAGTAAACAATCAACACATGAGATGGTTGAGTGGATTGATAATTTATTTAGTGAAGTACCAACAGATAACCTACCACCACCAGTATTTAAAATTAGTCAAGATCCGTTCTATCCAAACCTTTTTCACAAAATATTCAAAATCGTATCAGTAAGTTCTACTAAAAATATAATATTTACTTGGTATTTACCTCCAATTATTGAGCTTTATAAAATTAAGCCATTAGAATACATTGCATGGGTTGTAGGTCACGAAGGTAAAGGAACACTGATTAATTATTTGAGAAAATTGAACTATGCGATGGAACTAGAAGCTGGAGTTGAAGATGACTTTTATAGTAATAGTATTTATAGTTTATTTTCCATAACAATCGAACTGACTGATTTAGGCATACAAAATGTTAATGAAATAATTGAGCTTAYTTTTAGTTATTTGAAATTAATCAAAGAAAACGGTATATCTGAAGATATTTTTAATCAAATTCAAATTTTGGCAGAAAATGACTTTAATTTTGCTGAAAATAAAACAGCCATAAATCACGTAAAAGAAATTTCTCAAAACATGTTGTATTATGATGAAGAAGATTATATATGCGGTCCAGCTTTACTTTATGAATATTCGCCAGAAACAATTGCAAAGTTTTTAAACTTATTAACAGTAGACCGTGTAGCCATTTTTATATTGGCTAAGGAATTTGATAACTCTGATGTGTTTATAAAAGATCCAATCTTTGGAACAAAATATTTAGCTGAAAGTTTAACAGAAGAATTAGAAAGTAAGCTGTCATCTATTACACCACATCCGTGTTTTAAAATTCACAGTGATAATCAATATTTAACTAAAAACTTTACAATTTTATCCCTTAGCACAGATATGAAGTATCCAGAAAAAATATTTGAAAATGATCATATTGAATTGTGGTATAAACAAGATAACCATTTTAAGCTACCTAAAAGCTATATCATGTTTTATTTTATTACTCAGCTACCTTCAAAATCATTGGAAAACTATATGTGTATGGATTTGTTTTTTGATTCTATTGTGTTTTTGTTAAATGAAGAAACATATCCAGCAGTAATGGCTCAACTCAATTACAGCATTAGAGTATTTATAACTGGGTTTGAATTGGCATTTAATGGTTTTAATGAGAAACTTCCCTTACTCATAGACATAGTAATAAAATGTTTAAATAACTATACAAGCTTGATGACTGAGGAAATATTTACCATGATAAAGTCAAAAGCTATCAATAGACTTAAAAATAATCAATATGATTTAGATTATGTTCCSTCTGATTTAAAAAATAGTGTGATTCAAGATCCTGATTGGTATATAGACAAAAGATTAAAATATTTAGAAACTTTAGAATACAAACAAATTCTTACATTTTATGAACAACTTAATCATTTATATTGTAGATCGTTAATACAAGGAAATATTAGTCAGGCCCAAGCTATTGATCTTTCAAAAAAAGTTGTAAGTATGTTAAATTACCAGCCTTTAGCCAAAAAATGTTTTCCAAATGTGTTGATAAAACGACTAAATCAAGGCGATTTCAGAGTAAAAATGGCAAACTATAATCCAAAAGATAACAACTCAATGGCTTATAAATATTATCAGTTTGATAAAAATGAAATCAAAGATTCTGTAAAGTACCATGTATTACAGTCAATGATAGAAGAATCAGCATTTGATGAATTACGAACAAAACAATGTCTGGGCTATGATGTACAATTAAATGTAACTGATACTTACCATCATTATGGATTTTATTTCAAGGTGGCACATCAAAAAAATAAATTTGAAACACAATATGTGTTTAATAGAATGGATGAATTTTTGAAACATTTTTGGGATAACTTTAATGATCCAGATGAAGTCGATAAAGTTAAAGATGCATTAATTGCATTAAAAGAATCTCCTGATGATTGTTTAGGACAAGAATTTAGTAGGAATATAAATGAAATTCTGGAAGGACGTTTCAAATTTAATAGATTAGAATTAGAAATAGAAGCATTGAAGAATATGAAATATGATGATGTTAAAAATCTAAAACAAGGGTTTTTAAATGGACGGACATTTAGTGTTGAAATCATTGGTCATTGTAACACAAAAAGTTTGAACAATGAAAGTCCACCCATTAAAAAAATGTGCCTCGAAGAAAATGAAAATTTTATGTATATTGATAATGTTGAAGAATTTAAAAGYAATTTAAAACCCTTTTGATAAAATTATTATTATAAATACATGTTGCTTATGTTTCTGTGAAATATTACTAATAAAATATTATTAGCTACTTTATTTCAATGCTTCACCTATATTAGTACTTTTTTTACTTCTTTTCTAACAAACRCATCATTGGAAACCATGTCAGTTTATATAGTTATAAATAACTTAGATTWCCTCACTTTAAAACTCTATAACTTAAAATACTTGTTTTTATATAAATAATTAATTACTATGGACAGATTAATTGCTAACACGAAATAGTGTAAGTACTGTATTTAACTGTTAAAAATGGTGTATAGAATCAGTTCTAATTCTAAAAAATGCATCAGGTACTGGCTTAAGTTCTACTATAATATTATCCTCAAATAAATACTGGAATATATTTTGTGTTAAATAAATTTTAGTTATTGAAATATAAATATGAATATGATCTTTAGAGTATTAACATAAACAATGTTCATGGTTGACAACATGTTGACCAGAATCATATCTTGCTTGTTGTATTGTTTTAATATTTGTATGAACAAATACATTATATACAGCATAATAAATAATATCAAAAATCACATAAAAAAATTAATTTATTACTTACATTTGTTGATAATTGGCTCGTCAATGTATGAACTTTATCTTGTGCTTCACTTAAATCTCTTCTCAAGCGCCTAACTTCTTGTGCATGTTTTTCATCTGCTCCCATTCCACTATACAAAGATGATGATCCCGTTGATATCAGACTCAAAGCTGATCCATGAGCTGGAAATAAATAAAATTGTACRATTGAATGGTTTAGAGCTCTTATATTTATTTATATACTTACTATCATCATCTTTTGTATTGATTTTACTCATTATAGAAGCTGCATATGGTGATGAAATTACTGATCTATGGTTCGGTTGAGGAGATTGATAATTATAGCGACTAACTGGTGTTGGGCTAGTTGGTTGTGAGGCATGGGGATAAGTGCGATGATCAGACCGATTGGAAGATGCATAAGGTATACTGTAGTATGAATCTGGGTCATCCGAACGTTGTAACATAGATGGATATAGTTTTTCTGACTTTGTTGATCTAAAAGAATAAATAATGAATCTGATAGAAATAAATAAAATATTTCATTTATAAATTATAATTTATTGGTGATCGAAAAAGCTAAAATAATAATCTTCAGAAGTGAAAACTGAAAAGCAACAACWGTGTAAAAAATATTCAATATTGAAAGTGCAATTTTTGGCTATTTGCCTACCTTGGAAATGTCCGATCTCTTAGGTAGCTGCAAATAAATTTACAGCATTAAATTTCCCCAAAATTATTCATTTAGCCAAAGATCATGTATTAAAAATTATTAATTTTTCAAATATATTTTATCACGAAATAATAATAACACAAACCTGATGCTGTTGCTCCTWGATATTCTATTTGCCTGGCTAGGTGATGGACTAGTATTTGGAGATGCAGAAGTCATWAGCCGTGAATGGGTTAAACTTGCTCTATGATGTAGTTGTGCAGGAAGTGATTCAATGCTCTCAGCTTCAATCATACCTCCTGTTTGAAGTAAATAATRAAATTATTTTACATTCTCCATTTAATAATACAAATTATATGTACCTATAGCACCAGTCCTAGAAGGCAGAGAAGCTGTATAGTGAGGTGGCACAGGACTGTGTCTCATCCATGTTCCATAAGGGCTGCCAATTTTAGCTTCTTGTTCAGACTGATTAGCCATAAGTCGTTCCCTGACACTCTGTGATAGTTGAGTAGCACTAGGGCCACTTACTGAGTATGTCTTCATATCAGTTTGAGTACCACCAGAAACTTTCACCTTAAATTAAAATTATATTCATAWAATTTAATTTATATAAAATATAAATATGTAAATGTTATTTATAATTACTTTAGTCCTAGGAACGGCTGAAACTTGAGCTGTTCTTGGGTCACCTTTACCATTAGAGCTGGACGTGGATCGTTTAACATAACCAAAGCTTTGAGGTACACTACCTCGAGCTTTAGTTTTGTCACTTCTCGACTTTCTTTCCATATAGTCCATGTTATGTAAGTCCTCACGAGATCCATCTTAATAATATATTTWCAACATTTTAATAATCATTAGTTTTAGTTATATAAAAGTTGCTTCATTACCAGTTGATCGTTTTTTATCGGTTCGTCTTGGACTTTGTTTGTCACGTACTCTTTCAAAATCATTTGATCTAATTTGTTCTGCATTTTTTCCAGCTTCAATGTACTTTTTCCATTGTGAAGATTGTCTAACATGAAATTGTAATAATACATTAAAACAGTGAAGGAAAAAACATTTTAACTAAACATACCTTAGGCTTGAATTATTTAACTCGGTTTGCTGTCCGCTGTCTGACTTCTTGACATGGTTACGTGTAACCACTTTGTAAACAGGGGCTACAGGTGTAGGTTCTGGAGGGCTAGTTGGAGGACTAACATCAGGACCAAGACTTGACGAGCCCCCGTCTGGGCCCACGTTGAATCGGTTCAGCTAATAAAAAGAGTAATACAACTATATTATATATTATTATTAGCTAATAGCCATAGTTGCCAGGGTCTAGATCAAAAAAAAAAAAAATATTATTATTCAAAATAATTTATCATATTTACCTTGATTTGTTGTTTGATTGCCAATTGATTATTTGAATCATTTATATTTGCATCGAGTCCATCATTTGAAATATTTCTATTATAAAAAAAGTTAAAACAATATAATAATATATAGCTTTTTCAAATTAATAAACATATTACATGACAAAAA